CGACGGGAACTGAGGCAGGCCTGGCGTGGGCAGCAGCGTGCCCGGCGCGCGGAACACATTGGTTGTCTTCTTGCGCTTCTTCCACTTAGCACGCCGGTTCTGGAACCAGACCTGGAGCGGGCGGGACGAGAGACACACAGGGCAGTGTTAGCCTGCGGGGCGGCCAGAAGAGGCAGGGACTTGAGCCTGGAATAACCCGCGTCAGGTCCACGCACTCAGCTCCAGGCTGAACAAGTGCTATCGGCCCTGCACGCCTCCACACCCAGCCACGAGTCAACTGGCACCCCTTGCATCCACCGAGCACCAACTCCGGGGTCCTGAGTGATCGTGCCACAGAGCGCTTACACACACTGCAAACACTGTGCGCAGTGTTCAGCACGCCCCTGCACGCTGGCAAATTCTGTGCGCTGCTTAGATGCACAGGTCTGCAGGCAGGCATGTGTCAAGATTGGACCCACAGGTGTACAAATGAAGATAAACATGTGTACCCATGTGGCTTAATAGCGTGCCTTACAACACTGATGGGGTATAGAATTTTCAGAAACGCTGGAAATTTGGAAATTGATGAAGGGCCATGGATGACATGGCCAGTTTCAAAATCGAAAGACAAAGGAAAACCCCTAACGCCACGGATGACAGAGCGGAGAGGTTAATATAGTGATCCGTGTGGGAAAACGAGTGCCACTGAGCTACAGTGTTGTTTGGGTCGCCACTGTGACTTCTGATTCGTAGCGATTGGTACTACGGCCAAAAGTCTCCGTGCCTCATTCTCAGAACCCTCTAAGGGCACCTTTATCTGGGCTGTGCAGGTGTGCTTGAACCTGCTGCCAGAGCCCTGAGCCTCAGGGTCTTCAAATCTATTATTTTCAGGAACTTACTGAGGATCCCAAATAACAAGGCCTCCAATTCCCTCAACCCCCTCTCCCCCGACCCCCAGTCCTGTTTCACCTATAAACTAAAAGCAAATTTTCTGACCACTACAAACTAAAGGAGGTCAAGTTTAAAGCTCACACTAGTTATGAATCAAATTCAATTTTGCTTAGACAAACCCAGATGCCTTTCTAAAGGAAATGTGGTGATAAAATATACTCAAAATGAAAATAAACCTCTTACTAGTTCTTTCTTAACAGTGACCCTAGAATTTCAGACCTTACCAGACAAATTTGCCTATGAATGTCAAATTCACTACCACAGGGGAAGGAAGGGTTCTTCCTGAAAGATATCAAGTAAGCTGCCTGACCAAGATAACCTCCCCCCTCCCCATATTTGAATTTGATCTTTTAATTTAAAAAAATGCCAGCATGGCCACTTGGCAAGCTTGCAGTTTAAGCAGTTTAACATCTAGTCAGTTGGAGGTTTTATATGTGTGTGTGTGTGTGTGTGTACCCTTTGAGAAGCCTTCCCTTCAATATCCTCACACAGTTGTGCTTAAGAAAACAAAAGTAAGGTGAAATAAAAGCATTCTTTTGCAAGCTAATAGAGGGCTGCATGGATGTGACTGCGTAGACAGGGCAAGGAACAGATGGTGGGATGCAGCCCAGAGACTGATTGAGTTTCCTCGTAGAATTTGGCCTATACTGTTTGACCACCCTATTCATGGCCAAAAGGTCACACATTAATCCAAGCTATTTAGTATTTATTCTGCAAGCTTAAGTATCATGAGTATGAGGGTACCTGATCCCCTTCCCCATAAGCCAGCTTTGCACACCCATGCAAATGCAGAGACATTCTGTTTACCAATGTGAACGGCATTGCAGTCTAGAATTTTCGCCCGCCTTTGGGCCACCCTGACCTTTCTACCTTCCCCTTCCCATCGCCCACTACTTTAGCTTTCTCTGGTTTCTACCCTGTTTCCCAAGTTTCTGCTTACTCCAGTGTCCGGATTGGGTAAAGATGCTGGGTCCTTTTCCTGCTAAAGCCCCTTGAGCTTGTGGCGCGGTGAATTAATGAAGCAGCAGGACCCGAGATGGTGGCTGGGATCAATGCGGCCTGCCGCGGATTGAGCTGTTAGCGACCTTCCTCGGAGAGTCACCCGCAGGAGCCCACAAAAGCACCTCGAGAACTGCTGCCACAGGTCGCTTTGGCTTCCCCATGCAAAGCAGGACTGCGAGAAGTAGACCAGGTGGAGCCCTAAAAGGGACGGTGTCTCTGTCTGTGAGGTTCCCACACCTCACACTCCGCACCCACGTATCTTTTGAAACGCATCTATAAAGACCGATTCCTAGTCCCCTGCAAGTGTCAGTGATTCCCCAAATGTTTGGATGTTTGAGGCGGGCACGGGTTGGTGGGTTAGGGAGGGAGAATGGCAGATGTGGGTGGAAAAGTGGGGAAAGAAGCAGAAAAAAGAAAGGGAGGAGAAATTACCCCAAAGAATTTCAGTAGAAAATACGACTGCCAGAAAGGTTTCTGAACCTCAGGCACGAGCAGAAAAGAACAGCTGTTGAAGAACTAAATATTATAGAAATAATCGAAAAATCGTGCTCAATTATGTTTGAGGGTTAGTAGTCAAATGATGGCTACAAAATTTTTTATGTTTCATGGCTTACTGGGGTTGGGGAAAAAAATCTTCATGGGGTCTGAGAACCTCCGTTCCAAGCTATGATGCATATGTTTTTAAAATGTGAATGTTTCCACTTGAAAACTAGAGCATGACGGATTAAAATGCAGGCAAAACCTAAGGGAGATTTTGAGAATGCACAGATGACAACTCCAGGAAATATATTAACCGCAGCCACGGCCAACTTTGTACTCAGTTTGAAATGCAGCTCTTCTCAGAAAATGCTTAATACAACAGTGAGAATCTAATGGAGGTTGGAATTTAAAAATCCACTTTCATGATATCTGCTGTTACAGTAATATAGACATACTGTAAATGTATTTTAAAATATATAGCCCGTTTAATTCCCCACCTATAAATGGCTCAGAAATAGAGAAAGAGAGGGAGAAAGAGAGAATATTACTTTTCCCCCCTCAAAGCAAACGCTTTATGAAGATCTCATTGGAATCCAGCAAATGATTAATGTGAAGATTTGGGAGGAAATCTGGGGAGCTGTATTAAAGCCTAGATCTCAGGTTCATTTCGATCAGCCAGCCGTGAACTCTGGGCCGAATTCATTACACTTTAATAGTGCTGGGAGAGGAAGAAAATGCAATTTCTCATTCCATTAGAAAACTAGAAAATACTCTCAGCTTGTCCCCCTATTAAGATGTGGCAGGTGACAGGGCCATTTTGGGGGACACGGTCAATGGAATTACAGCACATTATTTTTGTTCGTATAAAATATTGAAAGGCAAGCCTGACTGTGCAGAAGTTATTTCACTGATTTGGTTTTTATGTAAATAAAATATTGAAAGTTAATTAATCCGTGCTAGAGACTAATGATTATGCTTATTATATTGCATTTGATCGCATAATTTGCATGATTCTCGCATTGCTGCTTAATAAGCCATTCCAGGTTATAAATAATTCTGAAATTGGTTTCTAATAATGGCATGCTATAAAAGGAATGGTTTTATTACACTAGCCAGAAAAGAGGAGCGATATCAGACATGGAATTGGCCTCCGAGTGAGTAGAGGTGCTTTAACAAATACTTAAAAGTATGATATATGCCAGGTATAGATAAAAATAAGTACGCTGGATCATTTAGTCTAGAATCAAAAAGTATCTTTTAAAACATACAGTTGCAATAAATTAAGTGTTTAGATCATTTTTAATCAGTACAGTGGCCCACATACTGAAAAGAATGTGTGGCAATCTGTTAACTATAAAGAAAACTATGAAGTACTCATCATATAAGAACATAAACCAATTACTATTTAATTTGAATTTGGTCAAGGAGCAATGGTACAGTGAATTGTGAAGTAAATACATTTTCCATAAATTATTTTTGCATTACATTACATAATGTTAATCATTTTGAAATGTTAATTAAGAAGGTTATGTTGATCTGATTACTTTTTAAACTATGGAACATTATTTTTTTAAAATATTGAAATTGCCATTCTATTAAATTGTTCCTATCAGCAGCATCAAGCTATTATCTTTGGATGAACATTATGATAGAACAATTAAAGTACTTTGTCTCTTTCTTCTTGATTATTCTTTTGTGTACTTCTTGAAAATAACTGTTTCCATTACATAGTTTGTGTTTTATTTCATTTACAACTTTTTATATTAAAAGAATCACTGCCATTAACCTTTGGAAGACCTAATAAAGTTTAATAGACCTCGTTCTCTTTTTTCATAAAGTCAGTTGTCCAATTATATTTTATTTGTGATTCTAAGTTCTATTTTAATTCAAACTAATTACTAGTATGTCTAGGTTAAGCAACAGCATTTTACTCTTTAAAATAAAAAATATTAGGTAGTATTTCTCTTGAAGGACAAAAAACAAATTTATGAAATTTGAACCTCCAGGATTTTAACAAGCCAGTATTCTCATTAATGGTAATGGAAATATTGAAACTGTATATTTCTGTTAAGGTGTGAACTCAATTTCAGATTTTAAAAGAGATGCAAGGTTTAAAGTCTTTAAAGCATTAATGAAATATATCTGCACAATACAATTAACATGACTTTGATGCATAATTTCAACAGCCCATAGTTCGGGGCTTCCAGAGTTCACTAATGAAACCACCCAGACCTATATTGGGTAAAAATATTCGTCTACGTTATACTCTGTATATTACTTTATTAACTGAACCACTTTAAGTCCCCAGTGATATTCATTTGCTAACGATTTAGAACAGAAAGATACCCTATTTTTCCAGGTTACACTCTCTTTAAAATGCAGAATGGAGACAGAAAAATTCAATACTGTGATTATGGACACCCTTGTCTCTTACTTGTTACATCAAATGTAAAGTAACTGAGATATTTAATCTTTGATGTTTAAAATTTGTTAAATGGAGATCTCTCAAATTTGTAAAAGCAGCTAGAGCAGAGATCGACACCCAGGATAATGAACAGAAACTACCACGTCCAAGACAGGAAAGGAAGGTTTTCAGCACCCTGGATAGCTCAAGACAAAGCGCTCGTCTTGAAATTTCACCTCCAGCACCTACCCATAAAATATTTGATAAAATGTTTTCATTCTTTAAAAAAGCGGGAAAAAATCTGAGATTTATTGGGCTATACTTTTATTCCCCGATTTTCAGAAAAGTTACAGGTGTGATTTTCTAAGTTATATACAATTTGCAACTTGGAGGGTGGTTGGACGAGAACAAGGGGTCAGTAATGATTTCGTTTACTATCTGTCAATCTCTTCTGCCCCAAATGTCCTTTCTTCAAACCGATATCTACAACAGAAAGCCCTCATTCCCCTCACCTCCCAAGTTTCCTTGGGAAAAACCAGGGCTCATAGGCTGTAGGGGATCGAGTCTCCATCCGCCCAAAGCGCATTGGTAGACCACCAAAGTTCAAACCCTTTGTAAACATCAGAGCGAGGGGTATTTTGCCAGAGAGCGGCGGGACGGTTGTTATGAAGAATAAAGCTACACCGTGAAACCCAGGTGTAGATCTTTTCTTTAAAACGACACCCATTTAGCCTTATTTACTCCCTTTTCATGTTTTCTGTATAAATGTTGCATCCTCCCATTTATCCAAATGCTTAAGACAAACTCATTAGGGGGGTAATGAAATATTTGTCAATAACGCCAGCTGGAGTGGCTTGCGCACTCGGTTTATCAGCCTGGTCGACGTGGAAGGTTGGAGACCCAGAGGTTCCCTTCTCAGGGAGAAGAAAGAGACCTAGCAGTCAAACGATGCTGGCTTCTCTTTAGAAGAGTTCTGTGGGAATGTGGTTATACTGGCAGGAGATGTGGGCCCTGTCTGTCCATCGATGAGGCCAGTTTGCTGGCGGAGGAGCTAACTTGACCCAGGAACGCATAGGTTGAGAAAGTGCAGCCCAGGATCCCTTCAGCGGAAGGAAAGACCCCGCTTCCTTTGCCCAAATCCTCCCGCCCCATCTTTGTCTTCTACCCTGGCGCCCAAGCCCCGCGTACCTGCACTCGGGATTCAGTCAGCCCGATACGCAGCGCCAGCTCCTCGCGCATGAAGATGTCGGGGTAGTGAGTCTTAGCGAAGCTCCGCTCTAACTCGTTGAGCTGCGCGGGTGTGAAGCGGGTTCGGTGGCGTTTCTGCTTCTGTTGGCCCTGCTGCTGGCCTGCTTGGCTGGGGTTCGGGCCACCTTGAGGCCCCGGCTGCTTGTCCGGGTCCTTTGCGCTCACTGCCAGCGAGGCCGGCGTAGAGCCCACTGTAGTGATGTCCTCCCCGGGCAGCAGAGTGGCTCCCTCGACTGGATCGGAGTTGGGCGCTAGGTCCCCTGGATGGCCCCCGGGGTCGGAGCCCCCCACGCCCAGCCTACACTTCACCGCCTCCCGGTGTCCCAGAAGCTCGGCGGCATCTTTCATACCTGAAGAGGCAAGGGGATGGCGGTCACTACTTTCCTGGCCATGCCAGAAGGGACTGTTCTCCCCGCGCGGTCCGATTTCAGCCCCATCCTCGGCTCCCTCGGCACCCACCGTCGCCCTGTGGAGCAAACTCTCGGGATGCTCAGCTAGGTTCCCCAGGATTTGGACAGCCAGGCTGGAATACTGTCTCCCGGCCTTTTCCCGTCTCTCCGCATTGGTGTCGCGTAGTGAACAGCCCATGCTTTCGACTCCCCCACAAAGAAACATTCCCAGTCCCGGCAATGAAACATGCCTCGGAGACACTTTCATGAACCGTACCCCTGGCACCCCAGGAACCCGAGAGCATACCCTCGGACCAGGAGGTGGGGGGAAGAAAAGAATAGAAAGAAAGAAAATGAAACGATTCCTTGGTTGTTGCCCCACCTGCTCTTAGGCAGCCTAACTCTACCTCCGGCCCTCAGCCGATTCCCTCTCATTTTCGGAAGATGGATAAGTCTCCAAGCCTTTCACCCCCCGAAATCAACCCAAATCAGCTCCGCCTCCCCCTCAAATCAGAGAAAGTGTTTGAGAAATGGAGTCACATCCATCACCAAAGATTCTCAGACCGGAAACCCAGAGCCCAGCAACAGAGACAGCATTAAGGAAACTCAAGTAAACGCTCTAGACGTAACACTGAATCAAACTTTAGAGAATTCAAGTTTTCTTTCCAGAGAAATAAAAGTCACGTTCCTCTCAGCCATTGGCAATGCCGAGTCCTTTTGCAGGCCGGATGCCTGTGAGGATGAATTTGGCTTTTCTCCTTTCTCAATGAGCACATTTAGTAAATCCACTTCTATTGCAGCGGCTTTTCCTTCAAGCCAGATTTTTACAAATTCAACCATACTTAGACGAGGAGGAGAGAAGGAGGCAGTGGGGAGAGAGAAAGAGAGGAAAAAAGAGAAGAGAAATCTCAAATCAACGCTAACAGAAGAGAAAGAAAAACACCTCCAAACAAATTATCACGGGGTAGATCGCTCCTTTCAAAAAAAAAAAAAACTAATAAGGGGGAGGGGGAAGAGAAAAAATAAGAAAAACAAAAGTAACAACATTTCCCAACTCCTTTTTTGGATCTACATATTCCATAGATTTTTTTTAAAGACGATGTTAAATCAAATTAAACTTTAATGCAGCACAATTACTTTTAAAGAAATTAGTCCATTTAGGGCGCATTAAGATAAAATAAGGAACAAATTGACAATTTCCTGCCCGTGCTTCTCCTGGCTGCCCGGGCGAGAGACGCGCACTCACCTAGCCTGGCGTCCAGGAGGTCGGCGTGAGACAGCATCGCGCACCGCTCCAGGGCGAAAGCTGTTCCCCCCCAAATTTTAGCGGCTTTAAGTTATTTAAAATAGATATAAGCTATAAGCTACACGATATAGATATATATAGATCACCTAAATGAAAGAAAATTCGGTTTGTGGTTAAAAAGGGGGCTTCTTGCATTATAATGTCCTTTAGAGAGACGGGGAGGTGCTTAACAGTTGAATGAACCCGTGAGCAGCTCGGCGAGGGGACCAATCAGGAGGGCAGCCTGCAAATGTCAGCGCCCGGAGAGTCCCCCACTCCGCCCGCCCGCCCGCCCGCGCCCGCCCGAGGAGGCGGCGGCGGCAGCCCTGGCGGCTCCAGCCCCGAGCAGCTGCTAAAGCAGCAGCAGCCGCCTGGCCCTCGCCCTGGGCTTCTGGGCCCGGCCTCCGGTAGTTCTACTCTGCGATTTTCTCCAGGAACACCCTCCCTTCTCCTTGTCCTGCCCAGCTCGCTCCGAAGGCGCAGCCCTGTCTCTTTGAGCTAGGATCTTCCTGAGGCTGAGGCAGAGGCAGGTTAGGGGACAGAGCAGGGCATGACCCCCTGGTGACCCGAGAGTCGCCACGCCTGCGCGCTCTGAGTAACACTGGCCTGCCGCTGGAGCAGGTTTGCCAATTCCGAGCACAACAAGGGCACAGCGTGCCCTCCAGACCTCGCCTAGATTTCGCTGCCGCCCAGGGGGCCTGCGCCTAGCGTCCAGACTCTCTGGCTGGGACTCTGGGCCTACCGAGTCCCAGCCCCGCGGCAGGCCTCCAGCGCAAAACAGGAGTCGACTCCCCCGGCGTTTCCAGGGCCCGAGGTCGGCTTCAGGGACCCGAGCGCTGTGCCTCTTCTTGCACTTGGGACCCTTCGCGCCCGGCTCCCGCTCCTCCGCCGGGCCCGCGCTCGCATCCTGGCCCACACCCCGCTCGTTTGGTCAAAGTTTCTAAATTCAGCTCGGCTCCCAACTCCACTTCAGGCTGTAAATAAAGTTAAATGCTCTTTATTTTCCTCTCGAATATGTTAAACTACTTGAACAATTTAAAGTGCTTTGCACAAGTGAAGCGAACCATTTCTAATGCTCTGATTTTTCAGAGCCAGCCAACAACAAAGTTTAGATTAGTAATATATTTCTAACCAGAGTAATTTTCAAGATCATTAGGCATTTATGTAATTAGTGCCAAATCTATAAGCTTTTATTACGATTATTAGAGTAAAATCAGTATAAATTTGTACTAATTTACTACTGTTTAGACTTGGCTGTCAAGCCTAGAGGTTCTTATTGTAAATGATAACTGAGGAAATTAAGTGCAAAATTCTGTACCATTTCTGATCTGCTCCTAAACAATCCGTTTCAATTGTATTTGTAGCAGAAAGAACATAATGCCCTTTTAAAGTTATTTGACTTGTATTTTTATTTGCAACACAAGAAAAATGCCGTCTATCCAGGCACAATGAAAACTGGTATTTACTACTCTCAACTTGATTAACATTGATTTTTAATTCGAGAGTGATGCAATTAAGATTATTCATTTAGTGCAAATAAAGCTTCCACAAAAGGGTGGCCCTATGAAGTCTGTTTTAAATAATATCGAACAAATGGCTTTTTTTGTTTGCCGTCCAATTGACTTACACAAAACATTGCAAATGCTGCCTGAGAGCAGATGCGAAAGGAATTGTGTGTGTGCGTGTGTGTGTGTGTGTGTGTGTCCTTAGCTGTGGTGTGTGTGACAAGGACCAAGCAAGGAGACAAAGGAGGCAGCAAGGCGAACCCTGGGGCAGTTTTGCTTCCTCTTCCTTCTCTTCTGCAGCCCTTTCCCCCCTTCCCATGCACACACACACGTGCGCGCGCGCGCACACACACACACACACACGTGTGAGTACCAGTCATAAGCCACACCGGTTCCTTCCGAGCGCGGAGACCGCTTCTCTGGAAGCTCGGGGCCTGGCAGAGCTTCAGCGGCCGCCGCAGCTGCTGCCAACGCTAAGTGGAACTGGGGTGCCGGGATCGCCAGCTGCGACTTGGCTGAGCACGAGCGGCGACGACGTGTTTGGGAGCCGCGAGGGTGTTCGGCAAGCGCCTGGTGTCCTTTCGAGAAAGGCTTAGTTGGGAGGAGAATACCTAGACCTAAAGCAAATAGAGTTCTTCAAGTAAAAGCTTTCCCTTCTCTTCCTCAAAATCCCAAATCTAGAAGCTAAGGGGCCGGGAGCGCGCGGTAGGAGACCGGATAGCGGCCTGGGGGTGGGGGTGGGGGGCGGCGCGCGCCCTGGACGTGGCTCCCCATCGCGCACTTGGCTGCGGGTTTCCGGGGACTCGCAGGGGTTTTTGCCCACCTGGGTGGAGCTTGGGGGATATCCAAGACCAGAACGCAGGGGCAGAGGTGGGGAGAAGTGTCAGAGGAAGAGACAGGGGGCCTAGCTGCTGCACCCGGATCGTCCAAACAGGCAGGTCCGCGGAAGCCCACACAGCCGAGGGAGGAGAAGCCGCCACCTGGAGAGAGAAGAAGGGCGCTGGGCCTACACGTGTGTGCACACAAGAGTTTGTGTCCCCATCCCACAGCCGCCCCCAGAACAGCCGCGAGCCGTGCAGCGTTCTCCCACGCGCACACGCTCGTATATTCTGTTTTGTTGCATCTTTCAGGTCGATAAATAAATGTGTAATAGTTAATGTGAAGACACATCAGAGTAATAACAATGGGACGAAATCAAAGGATTATCCATCTCTGTTAGTAACCGCTGAATAACAATGTTGCGGCGTGATTGATAGCCCGCTTCATTTTATGACTTTTCTATTGGTCTTGATTTTTATAGCAGTATAAACAAACTAAATCATTTCTTCCAAGACTTCAGAGCAGAAGCATCTAGGGGTGGGGATTAGGGGGAGAAGGAAAAAGGAAGAAAAAAAAAAAGAAAGGGAAATCTGAGGGTGGGAGGGGCGACGGAGGTGGTGTGGGGGCGTCGAGGTGGGGAGGGCGCAAGCTGGAGCTGGACCGCGAGTCTGGAGCCGGTTGCCAGCAGGCGTGGCGAGGAAAACGACAATAGTCTGGACGTAAAATGCTCGCCCCCGCGCGCGGTTCCCTTTCGGCAGCTCGTTTTGGCCAATGTCTGAATCCACCTGGGCAGCGCCTGAGATGTATTTACCAGAGTTTTATTCCCCGTCATCTTCCCACGTTCCGCGGGCAGCCGGGAAAGTGCCGGTCAGGACCGTTGCTACTGATAATTTAAGGCATTTCCCACATGATCATGGGAACTGAAGTCCCTAACAAGGCGAGGCTTTAGCGCAATGGCCCCCAAATCTTCGGAATGACAAGAATGTCTTCAGAAATCACTTCAAAGCAAAGTAAAAGGATTTTCTATGACGGATCCAGTGATTTTTCCTCAATAAATAGGTTTTAGATTGTTACACACACGTAGAAGTGGAACAAAGGGAACTACCAGAAAATATATTGGTTGCCCCTAATAAAATTTATTTAGACAGTTTACTTCTCATAAAAAATAGAGATTGAATTTTGTACAAGAGCCTGCCAAGGGGCGATGCACAGGGAAATCATTTTTTTCTTTCTCTTTTTTCCCCCTTCTTCTTTTTAACAAAGCACAAAGAGCATTTAAAGGCCAGGGAACTCTCTCCCGCTCCTGCCGAGATGCGCGCCCAGACTGAGCCAGAGAACTTTGTAATTTTCAGAAAAGTCAGCTTTCTGAAAGATAAATATTAAAACAAAACAAAACAAAATCTTGAAGGCTGATTATGTAAACTACAAACACAGCAACTACAAAACCTGTGCCTTCCTCCTGCTTTGCCATCCTGATCCAGAGAAAGATTTAGAAATATAAGCGAACCTGGATGGGGAGGTGGGATGATGCAGGAGATCAGGAAGCAAGTGCTTTAATGATGGATTTATGCTGATTAGGTTTGTAATTCTGATTTTCTCTCTAATTGTTTTTCTGCGTTCATTGCGAATTCTTTGTAGAGACAGAGACAGACCGAGAGAATAAAAATATATACCAGATGCTCCTGAAGAATTGGGTAGTGTGCCCAGAGCCCTAATTGCTTTTTCCACTTACAGAAGCCTTGGATGTTTATTAAATGTAACTTTCGGCTGCCTGGGTTGTTTGTAAACTGCTCTCTTTTCTTTGCAGACAGTGGGCTGGAATATGGCGCGTTATTATTCACATTCCTGCTATTAAATGCTGAATTGTAACATTGTTCCCTTTAATGAGGAGCGCCTCCCTCAATAATTAACGATCTCACATTTTCCTATTTTCTTGCCTGATGAAAAGAATCAATTTTAATTCGTGGTAAATTACAGCCATGCTTTTGGGTATTATTTGCTTACAGAAAACAAATCAAATGACTTGAACACTCCTGTTTACTTTTCCAGATATACAATAACCAAAACGCAGTGGCAAATCAGATCGAGTTTCTCCGGCCTCCCTTAAAACCTCTAACAGAATAAATGGTCGGGGCAAATACTCCAGGAAAAAAACCGGAAACTTCCAAGTCCCCTGCACTTGGAACAATGGTGACCATTTTCTCCCACAGCTCTCAAATCCCCAGGTGCCAGAACCGATGCTCCCCCAGTCCCCACCCTCACCGCCCCACCCCCGTCCCGGTTAGAGGTCAGTGGTCCACTTCTGGCTACACGAAATTTTGGGACTGCTTGGTGTATGCCTCAGTTGGTGATTCACTCAGAATGGGGTGAGTGGAAGGAAAAGGATCTGCGAGGGCAGCTAAGTCTCTGGGAAGGGGTGACAGAAGCTTCCACACTTCCCTGCATAAAAGAACACTCGTGATCCCCAGCAAAAGAGGCCACAGCCGAACACGTTTTGACTGAGTGCTCCTGCTCGGCCGCAAAAGCACCCTTCGCTGGCCTTCGGACCGCGGCTCTCCAGCGTAGAGTGAGAGCCTTTAACTCCTAGCCAAACAAGCATGGGCCCAGCCCCATGTACATTCTCCAGGCCTCCCTGGGTCTCGAGCGCAGGAACATCGGGCCGCTCTCAGCCAGTGATTCAGTGATGTCTCTGCGGAGTCCGTGGCCTAATAGACTCTTCGCCTACGGGACCGTGGCTCCTTAGCCTGGGAGCTAAAAGTCAAGGACCCACACTCCCGGTTTTT